GGGGCCGGGGGTCCCCGGCTTACCGGGGGCCGGGGGCGCTGCGCTGGGGCCGCGGCCGCTCCCGGTGCCGCTCCCGGTGCCGCTCCCGGTGCTGCCGCGCTCAGCGGCCATTCATTGTGCGGCAGGCGCGACCAGCCGAGCGCCGAGCGCGCCGCCCGCGCCTGCGCGACCAGCCGAGCGCCGAATCATCCACCCCCGCCTCCAGCTGCCCGCGCAGAGCTCGAGGGGCGGGGACACAGAAAACGCGCGGGCGAGGCGAGGAGAACGCGCGGGGTCCTGACCCGCCGCGCCCCGCGGGCCGGGTCCGGCAGGATCGGTTTCTCGCCGCGCTGCCGGCGGGCACCCCAGCGGGATCGCGTTTGCCAGCGGCGGGCGGAGGATTCCGGACCCTGCGGAGCCGCCGGCGTCACGTGAGCAGCGCAACATGGCGGCGCCCATGTGAGGGGCGGCGCGAGGGATGCGCGGGGCGGCGCGCGCGGGTGAGGGACGGGGGGGGACAGCGGGGGACCGGGGGGACACGGACAGGACCGGGGGACACGGACAGGACCGGGGGACACGGGAGGACACCCCGGGATGGCATCCGCAGGGGGCGGGTTGAGCCCCCCTGCCCTGCCCTGCCCCGCGCCACGTGCTGGGGGGGCGGGGGGCGGTGCGACGGTCCCGTTTTGGTGGGGAGGGGAGAGGACACGGAACCCCCGTGACAAAAGGGAGAGCTTCCCCCCACCCGTTCCCCTCCTCGTCCTCCCCTTTTCCCGCCCTCCGGGGCCGACCCGAATTCCGCCGTTTTCCCCCCAAAACCGCTCCGGTGCTGCCGTACCCTTCCCGTGACCCCCTACCCCCCCCGCGAACAGCCGCCGCGCTCAGGACTCTCTGCAGACGCCCCCAGGTGCCCCCCACCATGGACGGCGCTTCCCCCAACGGCTTGGCGACGCTGCCGAGCTCGGGGGCGACCCAGGAGGGCTCGGCGGGACCCCCCCAAAGCGAGGGGGCCGCCCCCGGTAGCGGCGAGACGCTGATCACCGAGGGCCGGGCCACCATCGTCTTCCCCAGCGCCAACGAGGTGTTTTACAACCCCGTGCAGGGCTTCAACCGCGACCTCACGTGAGCCGGGGGGCTGGGGAGGGGTCTGGCGAGGCTTGGGGGAGGCTGGGGGGTCCTGTGGTGGTTCTGGGGGCGTTTGGGGAGCTCTGGGGAGGGCCCTGGGGGGGGTCCTGGGGTGGTTTCGGGGTTCAGGGCTGCCCTGGAGGGGGTTTTGGGGTGTCACCCCCCTCCCCGGGGTATCCCTGACCCCCCCTTCCCCCTCCCCAGCTGTGCTGTCCTGACAGAATTCGCTCGGCTCCAGCTGCGCCCCAAAGGAATTCAGGGTACGGCAGCTTTGGGGGGATCCTCATCCACCCCCCAGACCCCTTTTTGGAGGTCCCTCACCCCCGCCTCTTTTCTAGTCATCCTTCCAGGCGAGGAGGAGCTGGGGGAGAGCCCCCAAAGCCCCCCCGAGGCCGGGGACCCTCCGACAGTCCCTGAGACCCCGCGGACAGCGCGGCCAGGAGAGCCCTGCGAGGTGGGGGAAGGGTCTGGGAGATTTGGGGGGAATCCCGGGCACCCCCTGACCCCCCCGGCGGGGTTTTGGGGTTCCCTGACCCCCCCTGTGCCCCCCCCAGGGGGGGCTGCGGGTGCTGGAGGCGCTGGCGGCCTCGGGGCTGCGCTCCGTGCGCTTCGCCCGGGAGGTGCCGGGGCTCGGGGCCGTGGTGGCCAGCGACTGCTCCCCGCGGGCAGCCGAGCTGATGGCCCGCAACGTGGCCCGCAACGGCGTCGGGGCGCTGGTCACGCCCCGGCTGGCTGATGCCAGGTGAGCCCAAAGCCCAGATTGGGATCATTCCAGGTGACCCCAAACCCCATTGGGGTCACCAGGGACCCCAAACCCAGATAGGGATCTCACCAGTGACCCCAAACCCTGCTGGGAACAGGGCTGAGCCCGCAGTGCTGCCCGGGGCTTTGGGGCTGTGCTGGGAGGTGTCCCCAGAGTGTCCCCATGGGCACCCCAATACCTGCCCCAGTTTGGGGTCTCTGGGGGGGGTCCCCACAACCCTTTTGCCCCCAGGAACTGATCCCGATGTTCCCAAGCGGCATCAGGGACCACCCTGCCCCACAAGCTGGGACCACACTGAGGGGGTCACCAAGGCTAGGGGTTTCCTGGGGGGACCCCAAAGAGGTGCTGAGGGTCCAGGGGGGCTGCGGGGACCCCCCGTGTTCCCCCAGGATGTTGATGTACCAAAGCAAAGCCCAGCGGGAACCGTTTGACGTCATCGATCTGGACCCCTACGGGAGCCCCGCGCCCTTCCTGGATGCGGCTGTGCAGGCCGTGAGCGAGGGGGGTGAGTCTGGGGGGCTCTTGGGGACCCCCCCAAACCCCCCCAGGCCCCCCTGAACCCGGATTTGCCAGGGCTGCTGTGCGTGACCTGCACAGACATGGCGGTGATGGCCGGCAACAGCGCCGAGACCTGCTACAGCAAGTACGGCGCCGTGTCCCTCAAGGGCAAATTCTGCCACGAGATGGTCAGTGCTGGGGGGGGTCCCCTGTCCCCGGGGGAGGTTCCAGGGGGTGTCCCATGTCCCCTGTCCCTTCTGTCCCCTGCCAGGCCCTGCGGATCATCCTGCACAGCCTCGACCTCCGAGCCAACTGCTACCAGCGCTTCGTGGTGCCGCTGCTGTCGGTCAGCGCCGACTTCTATGTGCGCGTCTTCGTCAGGGTCTTCACGGGCCAGGCCAAGGTCAAGGCTTCGGCCAGGTGAGGAGGGGTCCCCCCGGGGTGTTTGGGGGGTCTCTGTGCCCCCCCAGAGCCGCTCTGACCCCGTTTCCCCACAGCAAGCAGGCGCTGGTGTTCCACTGCGTGGGGTGCGGCTCACACCACCTGCAGCGTCTGGGCAGGGCCACGAGCCACGGCAGCGGGTACGGCTCCCCCCTCCCCCTGCCCTCTGAGCGATTCTGGGGCTCCTCGAGACCCTTGGGGGGTCCCCACGATTCTTTTGGGGGCGGGGGGGGCCTGTGACCACGTCTCTTCCTTCTCCAGCTTCAAGTACAGCGCAGCCACAGGGCCGCCCGTGGGTCCCACCTGCGAGTTCTGCCAGCAGCGTCACCAGGTGCGCACGGCCCCCCCGCCCCCCCACACCTCAGCACTCCCAAATGGGGCCCTGAACCCCCTTTTTTTCTCCTTCTAAAGGTGGGGGGCCCGGTGTGGGCTGAGCCCCTGCATGACCCCGCCTTCGTGGAGGGGATGCTGGCGGCACTGGAGCGAAGCCCCGGGCGCTTCTCGACGGAGCCGCGCATGCGGGGGATGCTGAGCGTCATCGCCGAGGTGACACAGAACACCCCAATTGTGGGGACACCCCAGCTGTGGGGACGTCCCAGCTGTGGGGCTGGCCATGACTGTGGGGCTGCTTTTGGGGCAGGAGCTGAGCGATGTCCCCCTGTACTACACCCTGGACGGGCTGAGCAGCACCATCCGCAGCAACACGCCTTCCCTGTTGCAGCTCAGGTAGGGACCCCCAAAGCCCCTCAGGTACTCCCAAACCTCTTTATGGACCACCTAAACCTCCTCCGGGACCCTCAAACCCCTTTAGGGGAACTGCAGACCCTGTCCTGGGTCCCCCAAACCCCTTCAGAGACCCTCAAATTCCCTCAAGGACCCCCCAGACCCTTTCAGTGACTTCTTCCAAAGCTCCTTGGGGACCCCAAATCCCTTTAGGCAGCACCTAAACCCCCTAAGGGACTCCCAAACCCCATCCTGGCCCCCCCAAACCCCTCTGTTCCCCCAGGTCGGCCCTCCTGCATGCGGGGTTCCGGGTCTCGCTGTCCCACGCCTGCCGCAACGCCGTCAAGACGGACGCGCCGCCGGCTGTGCTCTGGGACATCATGCGCTGCTGGGTGAGGAGGGGGCTTGGGGATGCCTCCCCATGCTCGAGGGGGCTGAACCCCATTTCCCTACCTCCCCTTCCCTACTTTTTCCCCCTTTTTCCCAATTTTCCCCACTTTTTCCCAGGCCAAGCTCCACCCGGTGAAATGGGAGCGGCTCCCAGACTCCAGCCCAGCCGCCCGGATCCTCGTGGTGGAGCCCACGTAGGACCCTCAGCGTGAAGTGGGGTTTGGGGGGGTACCCCAGATCCCCCCAAAATCCCTGATCCCCCCTCCCCTCCCCTTTACCCCCCATCCCAGGCTCCAGGCTTCCTTCACCCTCCACGAGGATGCCAACCCCAGCTCCCGGAAGCGCGGCTTGAAGCGATTCCCAGAGAACCCCGAAGCTTTTTGGGGTCCGAAGGCCAAGGCCAAGCCAGGGTGAGGCCTGGGGGGGCTGCTTTGGGAGTCCAGGTGCTCCCCACCCTTCTCAAGGGGGACATTCCCCCCTTTTTTCACTCGAGGTGGGGCATAAACCCAGCTAAAAAAGGGGAAGGGGTGAATCCTTAGCTCCATCCTTTTTGGGGGAGGTGCCCCTCACCCTCTCCCCTTTTTGGGGGGATGGTCCCCAGCTCATTCTGGGCCTTTCCAGGGGGGGCATCGCCCCTTCCCTGCAGGAGAAGCGGGAGCGGCTCCAGAACAAGCGGACGCAGCGGCCGGATGGGGCTGGGCTGAAACAATTCCCCTGCAAACGCTTCAAGGAGGTGGGGAGGGGGCCCCAAAATATGGTGGGGAGGGGTCCTCAAAGTAAAGAGGGAATCCCTAAAATATCCAAGGGGAGTGTGGGAATGGGGAGGGCAGTCCAGGAAATAAAAAGAGAAAGGCTTTCAGAAAATAAAAAGGGGGCAGGGAGTTGGAATAAAGAGGGGGTGCCTGGAAATATGGGGAGGAGGATCTGGGAATTTGGAGGGATGTTCAGGAATAAGAAGCGGGGAGTCTGAACACAGCCGGGGAGTTTTGGGGCAGGTTCCAGCCCCCCCCCTTACTGTCCCCCACTCCAACAGGGCACTTGTCCCCAAGGTGAGAAGTGCTGCTACTCCCACGAGCCCGCCCCGACTGCTCCCCATTAAAGGACGTCTGACCAAAATTTCCTGGAGTTTTAATGGATTTTTTTGGGCAGGGGGTGGCTCAGGGCCCCCCCAGCCCCTCCTGGAGCCCCTCGTAGCGCACGGAGGCCAGGAACGTGCGGATCTCCATTGGCTCCAGTGTCACACGCCGTGGGTCCAGCCAGGCCAGTGGCCGGGGTTTGGGGGTGCCTGGGGGGTAAGGAGGGTTGTGGTGGGGGGGTCTGAGGGCTGAGACCCCCCCCCCACGCCCAGAGCCCCCGGTACCTGTGACTGTGTTCCAGAGCAGGCGGGACACGCTGTGCAGGGGGATGTCCCCCCCCAGGGCCATCTCCTGCACTGAGGTGATTGTGAAAGCCGAGAAAAGAGTCTGGGGGTGGTGGAGGGGGCTGTCAGAGACACCCCCACCCCCCCCAAGAGCCACTCCGAATCCCCAGCCCAGGCTGGGGGGAGCAGGCAGAGACCCTCCCCAAGCCCACCCCAGGGGCTGCAGGAGGCTGAGCGAGGGAGTGGCACCCTGGGAGCCTTCCTTGATCCCCTGGAGCAGCCTCAGGACCCCCAAAACGGTCACCTGGCACAGGTGACGCCAGAACCCCTCACCTGTCACAGGTGACTCCAAAGCCTCACCCCCTGCCCGTCAGTGCCCCTCAGACCCCCATTCCCCTGCAGGACCCCCATGCTGACCGTCAGGTCCACGCTGAGGGGCTGGGAGCCGTTGCGGCTCTCGCCGCGCTCGAACAGGTGCTCGAGGCGCAGCAGGACGGTGCCGGCGCCGCGCGGCTCCACCGTCAGCAGGTGCAGGCTGGGGGGCAGCGCCCGCCGCAGCCCTGAGAACTGCACGGAGGGACAGGCGGGTGAGCGCGGAGAGTGCGCCCCACTCACCTGGTGCGGATGACCCCACGCCCCCTCTCCACTCACCCAGCGCAGGCGAGGGCCCGGGCCGGGTGCCAGCACCACAGACGGTGGTGTCACCATCTCCTGTGCCCGTGGCCGGTGCTGGTCAGCCGCGGCCGCCGCGGTGTCCAGCAGCACCAGGTGCTGGCCCCGCACCACCAGACCCCGCCCGTCGGCCCCTGGCTCGTCCAGCGGCTCCCCGAGCCCCCGGTTGTCGTCGTTCAGGAGCCGCCGGTGCACCTGGAGGGGACACAGGTGATGTGACAGGTGTCCCCTCCCTCAGGGTCACCTCCCCCAGGTGTGCCTGGCTCACCATGAGCTCCAGGGACCCGTCCAGGATGCTGCTGCCGCCCTGGGAGCGATCTGTCAGCACTGTCAGCTGCACTTTCTCGTCCTGCCCACGTGGGACAGGTGTGATGAGAGTGGGGCAGGGCCCAGGTGTTCCTTGCCCAGCCCCAGGGGTGCCCTGCCCAGCCCCAGCTGTGCCCAGGGGTGCCCTGCCCAGCCCCAGTACCTTGATGAAGATCCGGGTGTTCACGGGGTAATAATTCCCTGCCACGGGCTCGCTCTGGCTCAGGTTCCAGGTGGGCCGGAAGTCACGCCTGGGGGAATCCGGGGGGGGATCACAGGGGTCCTGTGGAGCTCCTGGGGAATCCCGGGGGTCACCAGAGCCCCCTCACCTGCGCTCCAATACCTGGCGCCCGTTGGAGTCCGTGTAGAAGCGCCCGGCTGTGCGCAGCGGGGTCTCGAAGCGGCTGATGACCTCCTTGCCCAGCCCGTCCCTGGGGAGGCGGGACAGGAGGGTCACCAGGGGGTCTCCAGGGGAGGTCTGGAAGTCCCGAGACCCCTGCCTGGACTCACGCCACGGGGATGGGCCCCACAGTCCACTCCAGCTCCAGGTAGGGGTGCCCTGGGCGCAGCCGCAGCACCTGCGAGCACCACGCTGAGAAGTTCTGGTGCAGTTCCTGCACCAGCGCTGTCTGGAGGCACACAGAGACACTCGCTGACATCTGGAGATCCCCCCAAATCCAAAGGGGGACACCCCCAGGACCCCTGCCCACCTTGAGCAGGCGCGTGGCCGCGTGTTTGGCCACAGGGATGGGTGTGGACGTGTTGGGCCGGAAGATGTAAGCGCCCGAAGCCTGGGGGCTCAGCCCGTCCCCGGCGCTGGCGTTGTACCTGGGGGAGCCAGGGGAGCTTAGGGGGATCCCCCAGCTGGGGACGCCCCCCCATAATCCCCCGGGGGTGTCCCCAGACTCACCAGTAAAAGCTCTGGAAGACGGGCAGTGAGAAGCCCTTGGCCAGGTTCTGGATCTCCAGCAGGTGCCCCGTGATGGGGTCAAACCGGATCCGCAGGTACTGGGGTGGGGGGGGACACAGGTAGGTCGCCCCCTCCACCCCCCCTCCCCAGGCCACCCAGTCACCCCCCGGCTGGTTTAACTGGGAGCTGGGACTTGTCCTGCTCTGCCCAGCCAACCCCCAGATCCACGTCCCTCCCTGATGTCCCCTCACCTCGTTCTCGAGTTGTGGCTCTGGGTCCCCTGAGGGCCACCTGGGGGGCTCCCAGGGGGCCCCCGGGCTCAGCTGCTTCACCTCAAAGGTGCTGAACCCCAAGGGGGGGGCCCAGGCCTGGAACAGGAGCTCCCCTGGGGCCCCCCTGGTGCTGCCCCGCAGCCACCAGGTCACGCTGGACACCGGGACCACCTGGGGGGAGGTGAGGGGGTGCCAGTGGTCACGGGGTGGGGTTTGGTGGGTCCAGGTGGGCAAGGGAAGCCCAGGCTCACCTGGCTGGCCACGGGCTGGCCCTGAGGGTCGGTCACGGCATAGGAGGTGGCCCTGACTGGCAGGCGCACAGGCCAGGTCACGCCCCAGGCCAGGGGGTTGTAGAGGATCACAGTGAACTGGGGAGAGGTCACACAGTGAAGGGGGGTGTCAGTCCCTGGGGACCCCCGGAGCACCCCCCCAAAGCTCCCGACCAGGTGCTTACATGAGGAGTGGTCTCGCTGAGGGGGCACACGCTGATGTTGAGGGCGTTGCAGAAGATGAGGGGCTCCTTGGTGCCCCCCAGAATGGACAGGGCGTTGGCCACCAGCACCTGCCAGGGGTGGCCAGAATTTGGGGAGGGTCGCTGGGTCACCCCCAGCCCTGCCCTTGTCCCCCAAACCCCACCTGGATCCCCGGGCAGGGGTGGGGCTCACCTGGCAGCTGTCCCAGCCCTTGGCCAGCTGCCGGGCGTAGTCGTCGGCCACGTGCTGCCTCTCGGTGCCGGCCACGGCATCATGGTGCTGGGCCACAGCCACGGCCTCACCTTCGGGAGGGCAAAAGTGGGCGTCAGGGGGGTTTGGGGGTCCCCAGGTGCCCTCCAGATGTCCCCCAAGATACTCACGGAGCATGGAGCTGTCCCCAGGGCCGTAGGGACCGTCTCGTGCCGAGGGCCCAGCCAGAGCTTCCAGCTGGCTGCAGATCTGGGGGTCAGAACCGATGTCTGAGGGGGGGGGTCCCTGCTGCCCCAGAGGGGGGTCCCCAAGACCTGGAGGGGTCCCCAGGTGCCCCCCACCTGCAGGAAGCCGCTGCTGAGCCGCTCGTAGCCCTTGAAGGCCGGGCGGCTGCTGAAGAAGCCGGTCCAGAACTGGTGGGGCCCGTCCGAATAGGGGAAGAAATCATCTGTCTTCAGGGGCCTGGGGGACACCCCAGCTGTCTGTCTGTCCATCTGTCTGTCCCGGCTGCCCCTCGGCCCCTCCCCTGTCCCTCGGCCCCACCCCTCACCAGGTGAGGTTGGCCCGGTGCAGCTCCCACAGGTAACAGGAGGGGGTGGAGTACAGGGCATGGACACGGCTGCCGTTGGCTTGCTGGGGACAGAGAGGGGGTCAGGGACAGCCCGGGGGGGCTTGGGGACACCAGGAGGTGTTTTGGGGACAGCCCCTCACCCGGGCGTTAGCGTGGGCAATGAGCTTGTCCAGATTCTTGAACCACAGGTGGGCATTCTCGTAGTGGAAGTCAGAGCCCATGGTCATCAGGATGTGGTTGGTGCGGTACTGCCGGGCCTGGGGAGGGGGACATGGCTTAGGACCCCTGCCCGGGGCACAGGGACAGCCAGGGACCCCTGGGGATCCCACCCCAGGGGGACAGGGACAGCCAGAACACCCATCCCAGGGGACGGGGACCTTTGGGTACCCCACCCTCGGGGATCCCAGCCCCCCTGTCCCCCTGGCAGGACCTGGGTGGCCGCGGCCTCCAGGAAGGAGGTGACCACGGTGTCCACGTTGCGCTCGGGGCCGTCGCCGTCCACGACGGGGGGGTCGGTGCAGAGCTGGTCCCAGCACAGCCCCGCGGGGGGGTTGTACACGTTGGGCAGGATCCCTGGGGACAGTACTGTCACCTCCCCGGCCACCAGGGCCGGGGGGGACAGGGGACATGGCTGGGATGGGCAAAGGGGGAGAAACGGGAAGGGGACAGGAGGGAGGGGTCAGGGACACTGGGGGTGACAGGAGGGGTTGGGGACACCCCTGGGGACACCATGGGGACAGGAGGGGTTGGGGACACCCCTGGGGACAGGACTGGGACACTGGGGGTGGCATGGATAGGGACAGCGGGGTTGGGAACACTGGGATGATGTGGATGGGGACAAGTTGGGAGGGGCTGGGGTCAGTCCTGGGAGGGGACATGGGACAAGGCCTTGGGGAGGGATGGGAGGGGACAGGAGGGAGGGGGATAGGGGCAGTTCAGGGGTCACTGCGGGGGGACAGGGGGCAGTTTGGGGGTCCCAGGGGGGTCACCGGTGAAGATGTCAGCATGGGGGGGGGCCAGGCTCGTGCTGGCCCTCCAGAGCAGCTCCAGCTCCCGGTGCTGCAGCCGCACCCACTTGTCCTGGTGGTCCACACGGCCCACAAAGAGCCCATCGTAGCCCATCTGGGGGACACGGGGGTCATGGGGGGATTGTTGGGAATGCCAAAGGGGAGTTTGGGGGTGCTGAGAAGGTTGGGAGTGCCAGGGAAGGTTTTGGGGTGCAGGGGAAGATCTGGGGATCCCAAGGGTAATTTGGGGATCCCGAGGGTGATTTGGGGATGCAGGGGAAGCTCCAGGGAGGTCTGGGGATCCTAGGGATGCTCCGTGGGTGCCCCACCTGGGC